AAAAAAAAAAAAAAAAAAAAAAAAAAAAAAGACATTTCCTGTCCAAAGCATAGGAACTCCCAGGAGCAGGACATAGGAAGGTCCAGTATGGAAGGCACACAACAGGCCTGGAAATACTGTCTTGATTATAGCTAAAGTCTTTAGGAGACACACACACACACACACACACACACACACACCTCAAAGTAGTGAACTATTTGTTGTATTTAGAGATCTGAAAAAATTACTGCTATTGGCCTAATTTATTAAACATATAGAAAAAATTAACAATAGTTACAAAGAATACTAAAGAAAAACGGAAAAAAGTTGAGACAATTATTAGCCCCAGAAAATACCAAAAGATGTGGAAGAAATGAAATATAACTATAATAAACATTAATATAAATACATATATTACTTGGCTCTGTAGACAAAAATATTTATAGTCATTAAAAGGAAAATATGTATTGACAGCTTTTTTTTTTTTTTTTTTTTTGTACCAGGGATTGAACTCGGGTCCTTGCACTTGCCACTGGTTCCACTGAGCTAAATCTCCGGCCTCATATCGACAACTTTTTAATTTAATTAATTAATTTTGATTTCTGAGACAGGATCTCACCATGTAGTTCAACAGGCAAACAAACTAGATATTGCTGACGTTGAACTCACTATGTAACCCAGGCTGGCCTTGAACTCATGGAAACTGCCAAGAGCACTCAGCCTCCTGAGTGCTGAAATTATAGACATGTGCCACCATCCCAGTGTCTGAATGAACTTTTTTTTTTTTTTTTTTTTTTTTTTTGGTACTGGGGATCAAACTCGGGTCCTTATGCTTTCAAGGTAGGCGGCAGAACCACTGATTTTTTTTTTTTTTTTTTGGTACCAGGGATCGAACTCAGGTCCCTGTGCTTACAAGTCAGGCGGTGGAACCACTGAGCTAAATCCCCAGCCATTTTTTTTTTCTTTTTTTTTTTAATACCGGGGTCTAACCCAGGTCCTTTCACTTATGAGGCAGGAGGCAGAACCAATGAGTTAAATCCCCGGCCCTGAATGAACTATTTTTAATAATGGCAAATAGGGAAGTAGGTTGTGTTTTTACAGGGAAAGGAAGTAAATTGAGGCTCAAAGGGACACTCATCACTTTTATCCCCACAGAAAGGCTTCATGTATTGTTTTTTTGCTGTTTTTTTGGTATCAGGGATTGAATTTGGGATCTCGTGTTTGTGAGGCAGGTGGCGGAACTGAGCTAAATCCCCAGCCTAGGCCCCATGTCTCATAGCTTAATCCAATAAAAGTTTATTTTCTTGTTCAATTTGTTTTGTGTTTTTGTTTTTGGTATTTTTTGAGACAGGGTCTCACTACGTAGTTAAGGCTGACCTGGGACTCACTATGTACCCCAGGCTGGTTTTGAACTCACAGTGATTCTTCTGCCTCAGCCTCCCGAGTGCTGGGATTACAGGTGTGCGCCACCACGCCCAGCCTTTCTTTTTCCATTTGAATGATCCAGGTTATCTGGCTTCCTGGTCAGTTGTCATCTAAGGGCTATCTCATTATCCAGGTTCCTCCCATTTTACAGCTCAGCCATGTCCTGGGGTCCCAGAGTTCTTTAAAATTTCATCATTTTAAACCAGGCGTGGTGGCACATAGTTTAATCCCATCACTCTGGGAAATGGAGTAGGAGGAATGAAAGGCCAGTTTGTGAAATTAGTGCCTTAGTGAGGCCCTGTCTCAAAAGAGAGAAAAATGGAGTGGGTGGGCAGGGATATAGATGAGTATGAAGGTTCTAGGTTCAAACCTTGATACTGAAGAAAAAAAAGGAAAAGAAAAATTTTAAAATGTTCTTCACTAGTGAGGAAAGTATAAATAATTGTGTGGGAGGTTTTTAAGAGCCAGGCCTGAGAATGGTACATATCATATTCAGTTGTTCAGAACTTGGTCTGAGCTGCAAGGAAGGTGGCAAAATGTAGTATGTGTGTCTGGAAACAAGAAAAACAGTTTTCTGCCATGCCCACCAAAAAGTCGGGTTTGGTGTAGGGAGGAATGTTAACCATTATTCATTCATTCAGGGAGCGTTTACTGAGCACCTACTATGGACCAAGCTTGGTTCTAAGTATAGTGGCTATAATAGGAACAAAGACAGACCCAGCTCTCTTAGAGTTTATATTTAGTAAGGAGTAGCAGGTGTGAGTCCCAGGGGGAGATTCGACATGATCTTCTATGCCAGGATGGCTAGAACAGAGTTAATAATTTTGTAAGAAGCAGTGTAAGGACTTTGCATTTGAATTTGAGAGAGGTGGGGCTCCATTAAAGGATGTTAACCAAAACGTGATGTGATCCATTTTACATTTTTAAAATTATTACTCTGGTCGTGTTGTGGGAAATGGATTGGCAGAGCAGAAAGCAGCAGAGAGACTAGCGTACAGTTGAGGGTGGCTCTGCTTGGAGTGGTGGCCCTGAAGATGGAGAAGGAGAGACATTTGACAGGTAGACTAAGGGAAGAGATGTCTGATTGGATGTAAGGGGTGAAGTGCAGGGAAAACACCAGAATGATTCCTGTTAGGTTGTGTCACAGGGTGGAAGCTAAATGTGAGGGACTCAGCAATAATTTGAAACACAAATCAGGTGATTAACGTGAGAGTGCTTTAGGAAGGGTGAAAAGGCGGGTAACAGGGCAGTGCGTTCCATTTTACAGATGGCGAAAATGAAGAACCAGATAACCAGCGGACCATCCTACTAGGCGCCATCACCGAAACGGCCCCGCCCCGTACCACCGGTTTTGCCTGTGTCCGTGTTCCCTATCCCAATAAAGTTATTGAAATTGACACAGGTTGCTAAGGAAGTGGGTCGTAGAGCCGGGTTGCCAAGGAAGTGAGCGGCCACGGTCTCTCCCCATCCGGGGCAGCCGGGAATGGCTGAACCTGGGGTTCGCCGCTACCGCCCCTGCCGCGGCCGCCGCCGCCGCCGCCACCAGCTTTCTGCTCAGGCCGCAGGTGAGTCGGGAGGGGCGCGGTGCTCAGCGGGCAGGGCCGACCCCTCTGGCACTTTCCTGGTGGCGGGCACCAGCGACGCTGACTGGCTTTGCTGCCCGCGAGCCCCGGCATCCTCTGCCCAGCCTCCGGGCATCCTCGGGCGGTCCAGGCGAGTTTATTCCTCCTCCCCCAGGCGGGGCCTCAACTCGACCCCCAGTGATCGCCACCGAGGCTCACAGTACCCCTGGGGCTGGGTGGTGGTCAGGGCCCCAGCTGGGAGGACTGGGATCTGAACCTCGGCGCTGTCGCTGCCTCCTGTGTGACCTTGGGCAGGTCCCTAACTCTCTTCCCTCACTTGACCTGTTTGTTCAATGGGGTCCTAACCCTTGCTGCTCTGGGTGGTTAAGGTGATGAGATGTGTAAGGTATAGTGGGTGAAAGGGAGAAGGGAGAATTCTTCAAGAGTTCTGTTTGAGGTCTTGAGTGTTTGAGTTTTGAGACCGCACATCTTTGTTCCATAACTGTGTGGCCTTGGGCAAGTTAATCTCTCTGAGCCCCCCACCTTCTGTAAAACGGAATAATGGAATATGGCAGGAATCCAGTGACACAAGGTCTGTCAAGTGGCCTGGTACATCGTAAGTGCTAGAGAAACTCCATGAGGTGTTTGGGATAGGGTGGGGAAGGCTTCTGGGAGGAGATGGCTTTGGGACAGGTAGGATTTAGATGTGTATCGTGCCAGCTCATATGTCTATTCTGCTCAGAGCAAGGTGGTGACTTCTGAAAGTAGCCCTTCTGAGACCATATCCATCTAGGTAGTTGGTCTTATTTTTTTCTTGTGCCTTTTTGATCATTCCAGAAGAAAGAGTATCTTTATGTCTTTTGGGAAGTGCTTTAAGCAGTATTAATTATTTACAAGTATATGATAAAGAAGCATATTTCAGGCCTGGAAGTGTCATTCGGCGATAGAGTGTTTACGGTGCACAAGGCCCAGAATGGGTGGTGGGTGGGGGGAGCACATTTTAGGTACTTTATCTCATTTAATCTTTATACAGACTTTGTCAGTTAGCTGGTGATGTCATCCCCATTTTGTAGATGAGGAAATTTGGGAAAATGAATGGACTAGCTAGGTGTGGTGATAATCCCTGCATTCAGAAGGATGAGCCAGGAGGATAGCGAATTCAAGGCCAGCCTGAACTCATAGCAATACTGTTTTTAAAAGACAGAACATGAGCTGGGCGTGGTGGCACATGCCTGTAATCCCAGCCCTCAGGAGGCTGAGGCAGGAGGATCACTGTGAGTTCCAGACCAGCCTGGGCTACATAATGAGTTTCAGGTCAGTCTCAACTACACAGTGAGACCCTGTCTCAAAAAACAAAACAAAACAAAAAGGACAAGAATAAGCCAGCCACAGTGGTTCACGCCTGCAATCCTGGCACCAAGGGAGGCTGAGGCAGGAGGATGGCAAGTTCAAGTCCTACTTGGGAAACTTAAAAGACTCTGTCATTAAAAAAAAAAAAAAAAGCACTGGGAATGTAGCTCAGCCGTGCAGCACCTGCTTGGCAAACACAAGGTCCTGAGTTCAGTCCCTGGTATAAAAAAAAAAAAAAGGGCTAAGAATGTAGTTTACTGGTAAGAGTGTCCCTGGATTTAATCCCTAGTAACACACACAAACACGCACATGCGTACGTGAATGAACTTACCTGAGAATCTTATACCCATTATGTGATGGAAGTGGACATGTTTCCAAGTAAATCCTGTGTTTTATCCCCATTCCCTGATACCTCTGATTTCTGTTATGAGGCCACAAGTGTATTCTTTTATTCCTAACTGCTTTGGCTAGAAGCTTTTCTTCCAATAGCATGGAAACAAGATCTCATGTAATGGTCCATTTACTTAAAAAAAAAAAAAAAAAGTCCACTTAAATAGGTACTATCCAACCTGTGGCTCTCAAAAAGTGTTGGAATGTGTAAAGGGGGCTTCCTTGTCCCTTAGTCCCTCCTTTGAAAATGGGATGTAGGGTGAGTGGCACCAAAGGCCTTTTAGTGCTGTTGTGCAGTTGTGGTTAAAAGATTCAGTCAGGCTGCAGTTTAAAGTCTTGGCCTGCCACTTCCAGGGTGTGTGCTGCTTAGTGGTTACCTTTATCTCTGTGCTGCCTTCACCTCATCTGTAAAGTGGGGTAGTAATGTTACCTATCATGTAGGAATATCATGGAAATTGACTTGAGCTTAGTCCATGTAAAGAGCCTGGCATAGCTGGCTAATGTCAGCTACCATTATTTGGGTTTAACATTGCACCTGTACTATATAGGCTACTAATGATTGGTGAACGAATAAATTGTAGTATGTGATTATGGTAACAGGTTTGTCAGTCTCACCAGGTCATTGCAAACTTGAAATAGTTGTTCTAGCATTATGAAATTCTGGTCATGTTATAGGGCTGCTCCAAGAACTGGCACTCTCATGCCAGAATGGGTTGCAAGGAAAAGTGAAAGCTAATGGTAGGATGCCAAGTTTGGTAGCTAGACACCCAGTCCAGTAGATGTTTTCTAAATCTCTCTAGGCAGGGACATAAAGGATAAAGGATATCTCATCTTATAACCTTTAAGGAACCCAGAGGGTATTTTGACATGATTTTTTTTTTTTTTTTTTTTTTTTGTACCTGGGATCAAACTCAGGACCTTGTGCTTGCAAGGCAGGTGCAGTGTCACTGAGTTAAATCCCTGGCCCAATTTGACTTTTTAAAAAATTGAACACAGGGTCTTGTGCATGCTAGGCAAGCACTCTACCACTGAGCTATATTCCCAGCTCTTTTTATTATGTATTTTGAGACAGGGTCTCACTGAGTTGCCCAGGCTGGCTTTGAACTCTTGATGCTCCTGACTGAGCCTCCCCAGGAGCTGGAATTGCAGGGATGTAACAGCATAATCAGTTGATTTGATTTCTTTAAGTGAATTTGTATGTTGTGTTTGCTCTGGCCACAGAATAAAGCCACTGATTCAAATCTCCCATGTACCAAGACTTTTTATTTTATTTTATTTTTTGGTACTGGGGATCGAACTCAGGGCCTTGGGCTTGTGAGGCAGGTGGCGGCACCACTGAGCTAAATCCCCGGCAAGACTTTATATTTTTATTTTTTGCTGTGCTGAGAATTGAACCCAGGGCCTCACATTTTCTAGGTAAGTGCTCTATCATTGAACACTGAGCTATTTCTCAGCCCCATATCCCTGGACTTCTCCTGGGTTACAAACCTCAGGTTGCTCCCTATATGTTTTCATCAACTGTTTTTAGGTCTCTGAGGAAGAATATAGAGCTGTCTTTATGGTGCCTAATGGTTTACAAAAATGCTTAAATGTACCTTTGCTTATTTGATCTTATCAGTAACCCTTGGAAGAGGGTGAGGTGCAGATTAAGATCTCCATTATACAGCCAAGGAACCTGAGTAAGGGAAATCATGCTGCTAAGAAGTGGCCCACTTACAGTGGAGTCCAAGTCTGTTGACCAGTTCAGTGCTGTTTTCAGCTGACTTCACTCGCTTAGCATTTGCTGAGTCCCTGGTGTTTGTCAGTCCTGTTGCAGTCTGAGCATATGTTTGTATAAAGGTATATGAGGTTCTTGTTCTCACACTCTCATGAACCTTACCTTCAAGCAGCAACAAGCAGAAAAACAAACCAACAGATGAACAAGGTAGTTTGAATAGGAATAAATGCTACAAAAATAATGCAGCATGATAGCAGAGAGAGGAATGCTGCAGGGCATTGTGGGTACTGCTACTTTATTGGGAGGTCAGAGAAAGCCTCTTTAAAGCAGTGACATTTTTTTGCTGGAATTTGCTCCCAGGAAGGAGCTAGCAATTTGAAGATGTACCAGGAGGAACAGTTGGGGAAAGGGCTGTGAGGTAGGAACAAGTGTGGTAAATTGAGGAGCCTCAAGGTGGAGTGAGTGGCAGGAGAGATGAATCGTGAGAGTGGAGATCTTCAGTCATATAGGGCCTTGTAGACTGGACTGAGAAGTTGGGCTTTTATTCTAAAAACAGTAGGAACCACTGAAGGTTTTTGGGAAGGGGAGTGACATGGTCTAGTTTTTTTTTTTTTTTTTAATCTAGGTGGAGATTCCTCAAAAAGCTAAAACTAGATATTTCATTGACTCAGCTATTCTCCTGTTAGGCATCTTCCTAGAAGAGCTAAAGGCATCATATTACAGTGAAACATGAATACCCATGTTCACAGCAGTACAACTTATAATGCCTAAATCTTGGAAGCAGTCTATATATCCATCAACAGTTGAATGGATAAAGAAAATATGGTATTTATTCACAGTGTAGTACAATTCTGCCATAAAGAAGGATAAATTTGAGCCATTTGTGGGAAAATAGATACACTTTGAGACCACAGTTTTGAGTGAAACAAATCAAGGTACATAAGCTTATACAGTATATTGCTAACTTCTCTTATTTGCAAGATGCAAAGTATCAATAAAGAGCCAAAGAAAAGACCAAAGGAAACAGGGATAGATCTTGTACAAATGGGAAGTCGACCCAGAAAGAAGTGGAATGGGAATAAAATTAAGATGTTATATACATGTACTTGCTCTCCACAATGAATGTAATCATTATGTACTATAAAGGTACTAATAAAAAAAAATCACTGTAGGCCTAGGGGTGTATCTCAGTGTGTGAGTGCTTCACTAGCCTGTACACCTAACTGGTTCCATCTCCAGCTCTGGAGGAAAAAAATCACCTGCCCTTTATGTGGTCAGTGAATTTTATTTTATTTTTTATTGATTGATTGATTTTTTTTTCTTTTTGAGACAGGTTCTCGTCATGTAGTCCAAGCTGGCCTCAAACTCACTGTGTAGCCCGAGCTGGCCTAGAACTCGTGGGGATCCCCCTGCCTCAGCCTACCAAATGCTGGAATTACAAGTGTGGACCACCACACCCAGCAGGCCAGTGAATTTTAGAGGACATGAGAAAGGCAGGCAGAAGATTAGTTGGGAGGTTATGTGGGAGATGGTGGCCTTCTAGGAT